CATGGCAATCCTCCTGCCTCAGTCACCCAAGTGCCAGACACAACCTCTTTAGGATAGGCCTATGTGGCAAGGCCTTCAGCATCTGCCCATGAGTGGGCTGTGACAAGTGGCTCGGTGGACCCAGGGATGACAGGCAAAAATGAGGCAGAGTTACACCAAGAAATATACCCTAGTCCTAATTCTACTGCTGACCTGGCCCTTTGAGATTGGCTTACTCATGCCACCACTTGGGCCCTCTGTTTCTTCATCTCAGTATCAGGGAGCACAAATAGCCTTGAGATTCTTTCCAATTCTAAGTTTCTATGAAAGGAAAAACCATTCTTTCCAGTAATGATACACACTGTATACAATTGTAGATGAAAAGTATTCTGATATCTTCATAATTAAGATATGAGTGCCTAGAAAAACTCTGAATAAATGATTCATAGCCATACACAGGATAAATTTTAAAAGACAAATAGTCATTCTGTAGAGAAAATCTAGGGATGTAAAACTGAATGAAAAGTAATGGTCTGATGTTTTCTATATGAAGCAACTATAGGAAAATGGTAAAGAATCAAAGGGAGCGGGGACTCGTGGCGCACACCTATAATCCTAAGTACTTGGGAGGCTAAAGCAGTAGCTTTGCAAGTTTGAGGCCATCTTGGACAATTTAGCAAGACACTGACTCAAAATTCTTAAAAAGTTAAAGGGTTGGGGATGTGATTTGGTGGTAGAACACTTGCCTAGTATACGTGAAGCCCTGGATTCAATCTCTAGTAGCAAAGAAAAAAGAACTGAGTGGCATTATTTAATGCAAGAGTGGGAAAATTTTTTTCTGTAATAGTCTAATGGTAAATATTTCAGACTTTGCAGACCATTTGATCTCACTTACAACTACTCCATTCTGCCACTGTTACATGAAAATAGCCCTATAAACAGTATACATATGAATGAGCACGGTTGTGCTCTAATAAAACTTTATGTATGGATATGGGAGTATGAATTTTAAATAATTTCCACATGTCACAAAATATTATTCTTCTTTTGATTCTTCTTCAACCATTTCAAACACATTCTTAATGCAGGAGCCCAGACAAAAATAGGTGGTGAGCCTAATTCGCTCTGCAGTGTGAAGCAAAGGAATAAGGCTCTAACTTACAACATACCCAAGGGGCTGCCCAAGGTCTTCTAGAGGTAACATCTTCCTTTGTAGTGTCATGAGCTAAGGTAGGGACAACTGGAGGGGGATGGTCTAATGAAGGAAAATGTTGAGGCTGGATGCCAGCACAGACATTTTTGCACAATGGAGTTGCTAAGATTTTAAACTTTAATCTATCTGAGTAGAAAAGCAAAACATTTCCCACTCCTTACCTCTCCAGCAATAACAATTTCATTTATAACATGATTACTAAGTACTGAGAAGCCTTCTAAGGACTTTGTTTGTATCAGTCCATATGATCTCCACACACCCCCATGGGGGAGGCACTATCATCAGAGTCACGTCACAGATAAGGACTCTGAGGCAAGAATGTAATTCACCAAACTGCCATAGCATGTGGGAGAGTTGGGCTACACCCCAGGCAGCATGGCACCGGGGTCTGAGTCCTTAACTGCAACACACAGCACTACCAAATATGGCCATACTGCAGAAATAACTCAAGTCACACTTTGGACTGGATGGATTTTTGTCTTCAGCCATTTAAGACATTATTCTTGTTATTTATTCACAGTTGAAAGTTTCAGCTGTAAGTGAAGTCTAATCATGAACATCCCATATCTGTTCTCAACTAATATAATTAAATGTATGTCCAATCAAGGATGTCATTCTGTTATTAAAATATCATTTAAAACCTTATCAAACTTGGACAAATTAGTATGAGAACAGTTCCATCTTAATATAACTTTCCCTATATTTTTACTTCAGCTTTTTTTTACCATCCATTAATATCTTCGCCACCCCCATCGCCATCACTGACAAACATCAGTTGCCTCTCAGTTTCTTATAAAAGCACTCCTCTGTGCAGTTCTGAGGTATTTGCTTTCCAGATAACATATTTTTAGAATATTAAATCCCTCAGCTGCCCAGCTGGTGAAATCAAATGAATACTTTCAGATACTAGTAAACATGGACACATAAATCAGGTTTAGGAAAAGCATTGACCAATAAAGCAAAAGAGGCTTCCACAATTTATGCCCATCTCTTATTACTCTATTTCAAGAATTATAATAGAGACATTTGTAAGTGACTAAAGGCTCTGGAATATATGAATGTATCCTATTGTCTTAGTTACTTTCTCATTGCTGGAACAAAATACCAGATACCTACAACTTAAAGGAGGAAGGTTTTATTTTGGATCAGAGTTTGTAGAGGTTTTGCTCATAGTTGACTGGCTCCAAGGCAGAGTCCATGGCTACAGAGTGTGGCAGATGAGAAACAGCTCATAACATGGCAGACAGGAAGCAGAGAGAAAGATCAAATGAAGAGGGCAGGAGATAAACCCTTCCAGATTACACTACCAGTGACCCCCTCCTCCAACCAGACTGCACTTGACACAGGAGGTGAGCTGCTCCCAGCACACAAGAGGAGGCTTCTGGGCCACAGTGCCACCCCCGCCAGCACACAGGAGGAGAGCCACGTGGGTGCCAGCAGCACACCCCACCCACTCTCCGCCCCCCATCGAAATGAGAAGTCACATAAACAAGTCTCAAAACCAGACTTCCAACCAGACTGCACCTTTCAACATCCCATTTAGCTATAAACTGATCAGTGGACCTATCCACTGATGAGTATCACGTTGCCATGTTCCAATCACCTTCCAAAAGCCCCACCTATGAACACATGAGACTTTGGAGGAACATCTAGATATAAACCATAATACTTACTTAACTGGATGAGGATAGCAGCTTCTGGAGCTGATTGTCTACCCTATAACCATTGCATTCCCTCTTTTCTTGAAGAAAGAACTTTAATCTTATTTAGGATTCTTAGAGCCATGTGCTTTAATGGTGGGGGTACAGTGAAGGGGAAGGGGGGGGCGTGAATCGTGAATCATGGCCTTAATATAACCACCTGGGGCATCCCTATGACAATGAGGCCTTCCAATTTCTATTTGTTTGAGGCTGAATTTTCTGCATGCATTTCAACCTAAAACAACATATCACAACAGATTGAATGAAGAAGTAGGTATGAGAAATTATATGTTCTACATATTAAGTTGATCATTAAAGATACTTGCAAAACACTGAAGTGAGGAGCCAGGGATTTAGCTCAGTGGTTCCAGTGCCTGCCTCACAAGCACAAAGTCCCGAGTTCGATCCCCAGTACCAAAAAAAAAAACAAAAAACTGAAGTGATATGACTTCTAATTTGTTTTTCTTTGAAAAAGTTATTTTCATAAAAATACAACTTTTTAATAGTTCATAAAACTGAACTTTTTAATTCTCTGATTTAATCTCTAACATGACAAATATTGATAAACAGAACTCACATAAAGAAAGGATCTTCAAAGTCTTTCATTAAAAAAAAAAAGAAGTCAAATTCTAACTATATCAAGTAATTTCTCTTGCTAAGGTCACTTCAGGAATGGGCCTGATATAGTAATTCTAGCCAATGATGAAAGGTCATTTTGGGGGGGCTCTGGAAGTTTTTCTTTGCTTTTATAAAAAGCTTTAAGAGAAGAAATTTTGCTACCTTTGACTGGGTTGTTTGGAGCTGCTGCCTGAGGATGATCCAGCTGGGCACCATGAGCACCCTGGTGCAAGAGCAAGCCCACAGACTGAGCTACTGGATTGGCCAGTTCTGAAATTGTCCCATATTAGATCTCATTTATGCGATAATAGATTTCTTTATCATTTAAAGCACCTTGAATATAGCTCTGCTACTTATGCAAGACACCATTCCTACAACTTAGGGATTTTGCTTATTTTTTCCAAAATGTTAAAGAGTTAAGAATCAGACTAAGACTGAAGCACAGAAAGTTAATTCCTGCATGTGCATTTTGTTCATTCATGAATCCCACTTGCATTTGTCTACATGCTGTGATGCTGATGAAAATATCATGGCTCATCAACTCAGCCTTCACACTGTCAAGATCCTTCCATAGGCTCACTGGTCCCTCTGCTCCAGCCATACCCTGAATAAGGAGGTCACAGATAGCACTCCAAATTTATCACTGCTCCTGAGAAAAAATTGGGGGCATATGTACTAAGGTCACCAAGGAGACAGCACTCTTCCCTACACAGACAGAGGCCATGTGTCTTTCAAAGGTCATTCAAAATAAAGAAGAGAACCAAAGCAGTCAACTAGCTGAAACCCTCACCATCCAGACAAGGACACGGAGGCCAGGAAGGCCATGTCACGTTCCCAGCTCTAACCCAGCAGGAGGGCTCCCTCAGATTATGAGCATTCATCATGCATCTCTTCAGCACTACAAGGCCACAAGAATGGGTCTCATCAAGAATCTGACTCAGATTCTTATTTCTCAAGCAATTTAGAAAGGATAAATGTTAATAAGTGGAAAATAACTTCCTCATGAGTACCTATCAATTCAGTTTCCAAACTAAGTTTGAGAGAAAAAGCAGAAAGGAGCTTAAGACCTGTTACATAATTGAAAGTCAAAATGTATTTGTTAAACTAAACTGACTACAACAAAATAAGATTTTCTCTAATCCAAATCAATGCCTTCCCTGTTACTGTTCATGAATACTCCTCTAATTTTAAAAAGCAATAATATTTAATTGGAAATCTCTCAGACTGTGGAGCTAAATTCAGTCTCATCAGAAGAATTCTGCTCCTGAGCTCATACAGTCTTACATCTCTGTAAATTTATATATTTGTTTGCAGGGAGTAAGAATGGATAGGGTAGAGAAGGGTACCAAGGATAAAGAAAGAGAGCAAAAGGAGAGTGGCTTTAAACTGGAGAACAAAGCATAGTCTAATCTCACTTCACTTACACAGGCACGCATGTGTACACATGCATGCAAACACATAACTCAAAAGCAAAGTTTAAGGGTGGATATTGGTCATGGGTCCTCTGCCTTTTGGCAAGGGAATCTTCATCACTGATGCCAGCCATCAGGTACTTGAGTCCTGTGATCCAGGTGCGTGCCTCCTCGGGGTTGGAGGTGATGAGGTCCAGGGACTCCATGTGGTTTCCATGGTAGATGGTAAAGCAGCAACTGGGATCAAAGTTCCCCTCAGCCTGCCTGTGAAATATCTCAGACTGCCGGCCCTCGGTGACTTTGTAAATGGAGTCGATAAGAACTGTGAGGGAAGCGAGATACACAGTTACATGGCAGGTGAAGATACTAATTTGTAGTGATTTAGATGCAAGAAAAGTGCCAGGCATGATGGCACAGGCCTGGAATCCCTAGCTACTCAGGAGGCTGAGGCAGAAGGGTTGCAAGTTTGAGGCCAGCCTTTGCCATTTAGTCAGACTCTGTCTCAAAGTAAAAACAAAAAGAGCTGTGGAGGTAGCTCAGTGATAGAACACACTGGGTTCAGTCCCCATCAAAACACACAAACACACACACACTCACAAAGAAACAAGAAAGGCAACATTTTTTTCTTTTTTAGACAACATCATTTTAAATATAAAAAGCAAGTATGAAAAAATTCATCATCTGCAAGTTGTGGTTTTAAGTTCAAATGTGAAACACTGTCCCTGTATTTCCTACAAGAAAACTTCTACACATAACATGTTTTTCTGAGTTTTGGGTTTTTTTTAATGCTGCTGGGGAATGTCATGCATGCCACACAAGCTATAGTTACAGACCACTTTTCTTGACAATATCCTCCCAAATCAATGATTCAGGTTCTGTTTGAACATAATAAAAAGATAGATATGTCCATAAGAACATGAAAATAGGTGGAAAGGGTGGCTAATAACTATGTCAAATTTATAGTTTACAATACGGAGGAAAAATATACAAAGACCTGAAAATGATTGGTATTTTGCAAAATGCATGAGAAGATACTTAAAAAATTGAAAGGAAGAAAATTTACTGGCCACCACAGAGCACAGATAATGTGATTGGCATTGATAGAGAGGATGCTATGGTGGTGAAGGTAAAGCAGGGCTTGGAGAAGAGGAACAAGGTGTCTTCTCAGAGGAAGGGGCAGGAAGATGCAGAAACAGAAGGCCTACTCCAGGACTGAGAAGCTCAGGGAAACAAATATGGGAGACGAATCTGGAAAGATAGATAAGCCTAAATTGTGGAGAGGTTGGATTAATAGAGAGTGATTTGCATTGTTTAGGAAGTGAAGCAACATTGAAACACTGAAGGTTTGGGACAGAGAATCATTGGCCAGGGTAATTTCAGACTAAAATATTTTTCCTTTGTTGTTAATTTTCAAGCAGGCATCAGAAGTGTTACATGTCCCATTATTTGCCAATATAAACTATCTATTCCTTACTACCTTAATGGTAGAATCCCAGTTTTATTCTATATCAATTCATTTTCCCACATGGCTCACAGCAAAATGAGCCTATGCTCAACCCAGAGAAAGTTCTGGCCAATCTAAGCCACTGGGTACCTCTGTTCATATTTCTTTGGATTGATTCAGGTATGAGCTTGCAACCTCATTCTAACCAAGCAGACATGGGGAAGTCTGCTTGAAGGAAGAGTCTAGAAAGAGGTTCCTTTCTCATAAAAGAGAACCACAAGAAGAGTAAGTTCCTTTTCACCTCTTCACTGTTCTAGCAGATTGTGAGGCCCAGAAGTGCTGCAGCCATGCTACTACTACCATGGCTGCAATGCCAGCGCACAAGGGACAGAGCCAAGACCACTACAGGGACAGAATGAGAGAGTAAATGTCCCACACCTAAGGCTTTCCCACCTCTGACCTTGTTAGATGATGTAATAAATTTATCACAAAGCTTAATTTAGACAAGCTCTTCTGTTACTAATAAACATAGAAGAAATTAGCAAAAGAGAGGGTGGCTAGGAGACTTTACAAAGGGCTACCCAAAAGGTAAGGACTTTAAACCAAGGAGGTTACCATGAAAACATGAAGGAAGAGGCCTATGCAAGAAATGTTACAGGAGCCTCAAAAAGGAGTTGGTACTAAGTACACAAGATATGTATGATAGCTCATCTATAGTGCCAACCTGGCTGGCTTAAGGGATGCCCAGAGAGCTGAGACTTTTATCAGCAGGCCCCTGTGGCCTGGGCCTGAGAGTTACACCATCAGCTCCCCTGGTTCCCAGGCCTCAGACTCAGACTGGGTCATGCTCCTGACTTCTCTGGCTGTCTAGTTTACAGATGACATACTGTGACACCTTGCAGCCTCCATAAGCACAAGTTAATTCCCCTGATAAAAATCCTATCTATCTATCCATCCATCCTACTGGTTTTGTCTCTCTGGGGGAACAGTGACTAACAGTGTGGGAGAGAGAAGCTTTAACTAATAAGAGTCAGATCAAAACAATTTTACTTGATACCACTAAAACAGTGTTGTTAATTCATTAATTCGTAGACTGTGCTCGAATACAGCAATATACTTTAAAGCCTACTGGATTTGTGATATCCTTTACTTTTTAGAGAAAAATAAAAGGTCTCAGCTATAAAATCTCATATCCCAGTTGAAATAAAACACACACCATACCTCCAACACTGAGGAAATATTAGCCTTTATAACATTCATAGACAAGAAAACTTTTAAGAATTTAAATTCCCCTAAAACAGCCATTTGTCTCAACACCCATAACCAATTGACTTCAATTGAAAAACTTGCAAAAATATGAAAGTTCCATAGATCTGAAGCTTTGAAAGAGCCTACCCAATGTTACTCATGTGCTACTGTGTTAGTACAAGCAAAGAATTCAAAGGTTGGTTTACTTTTTGCCTTCTCACTCTTCCTAGATGGTCGCCAACGGAGGCGAGTCCGATGCTCATCCAGGTAAAAGAGCCGCACAAGCCCTTTGGTCCCACGCTTCAGTTTGATCATCTGCGTCCCAGACTGCATTACACTCATGCATCTTTCAACTGCAAAAAAGATCAGAGCACAGTCAGCTGTCACATAATGCACGTGCACACCTGTGTGCAGAACTTACAGTCAAATCAAACTGCTGACTCACCCCCAATAGACTACCAGGACCAGAAGACAAATTTAGTAGAGGTAATCTGAAAACAGAGTTGCTAAGGAATTGATTCATTAAGCTGAAGCCAGTAAGAAGCCTGATAAAAATAAAATTCTATTCCCAGGTTAATAATAAGGTATTACTGTTACATAGGGCTATATTTTGTTGTTTCTCTCTCTGTGCTTCTCTCTGCTTCTCTCTCTCTCTGTCCCTCTCTCTCTCTCTCTCTCCTCTCTCCTCTGTCTCATTTTGTTTTATATGAAACCGATGACCACTTGACACTTGGATTTGCATTTCTAAAAAAAAATTTTCAGACATATTAAATCTTGTGAGTCTTTATATAATCAGTTATAAAATCATCTTATAATAATGTCTTAAAGTGCAAAAAACAATTCCTAATAGCTAAATCTTGGAAGCAGCCTATATATTCACCAACAGAAGAATGGATAGAGCAAATGTGGTATACAGACACAATGGAGTACTATTCTGCCATAAAGAAAGATAAACTTCAGTCATTTGTAGGAAAATGGATGCACCTTGAGACCATAATGTTAACTGAAATAAATCAGGTGTGCAAGCTTAATTATAGCTTGGTTTCTCTTATATGAGAAACCCAAATTATAAATAAAGAGCAAAATAAAATATAGATAAAAGGAAGTAGGGAGACAGGTCTTTTCAAGTGGGAAAAGGATCAAGAGATGGAAGAGGAGAGAGAGGGGAAAGGGGTACACCAACTCCACACAAGGAATATAATGTACTGCAAATATGTACTAATGAAAAGATAAAGAAAAAATGAAGTGCAACCAACAGAAATGAGCTTGGCAAAATGCCAATAATTACTAAAGCTGGATGACGGTTATGTGTGGATTGATGCTATTATATTTTTCTTTTGTTTGTTTAAAGTAAAGATGTAGTGCATTTTATTTTTTAATTAATTTTATTGGTACATTTTAGGTATACAATATAATGACATTCAGCATTGGAAATTTGCACCTTTACATAATCTCTCTTGGTTCTTAGTAGAACTCTTGAAGACCCTGTTGTAGGAAAAGATTTTATGAACAAAACCTCAGTTGCCCGTGAACTAGCACAAACAATCAACAAGTGGGATCTCTTCTTATTAAAAAGCTTCTGCACAGCAAGAGAAACCACCAACAGTGTGAAGAGACAACCCACAACGTAGGAAAAATATTTTTCTATATGTTTAAAAACAGCTAAATAAATTATCGTGTAGTCAGGAAAGACAAGTTTTTAGAACTGAATGTAAAACATTTGTCACACATTTAAACTGTTCAGATTTTTCCATTTGGAAGAATAACTTGGCAGTTGAATTCAAGTAATAACCAAATCACTTATTATCTAAATCAAAGTTGTCATTTAAATCCCTTCTGCTTTGAAATGAACCTTGCTGAAAGTAGGCCTCTACTGGTTTTGTCCATTTCTCCTTTCTTGGTAATATTGCCCTCCTTTTCACTTGGAAACATTCCTTCCCATTGCATGTGCCATTGGTGGTCTGTCAATCATCCAACCAAGGAACAGCCATCTGACTTAAGGTTACAGAAAATCTGACTCCCTCTCAAGGAACACAAATCTTGAGAAGATCACTGAATGAAAACAGAATTGTGTCATTTCAACATCTGAGATTTAAGATACACTCCTGATTGGTCACACCAAGATGCCATAGTTGTAACAGTTCGTATTCTCCCCGAGAATGACAAATGATTACATTTTCCCCTTGATTCTGCAAGTTTTTGCAAAACGCTCCCAAATACTCTCCTTTCATTCTATTAGCCAGAAATTTAGTACTCAAAATATCTAGCTTTGGGAACCTACCTTATCAAGCAGATGTTATTAGAAACAAAAGATTAGCATAATACAACAATCATCCACAATGTTAGACCTTAGCTTTTTGGCTAAGTATTTTGTCTTTATTAAAAAAGATAATCTGTTCTGAGAAGTTAACACTGTATGGACAGGTTCCCATTAAAAGTAACTTCACACCAAGCATGGTGGAATACACCTGTAGTCTCAGCACTTTGGGAGGCTAAGGCAGGAAGAGCACAAGTTCAAGCTTAGCTTGGGCATAGCTTAGCTACTAAGTAAGACCTTGTCTCAAAATACAAAATAAAGAAAGGACCAGGGATGTAGCTGAGTGCTAAGGCCCTGGGTTCAATTCTAAGTACTAGGGGGAGAAAGAAAGGTAACTCCAATATACCTACTTTCACTATTTACTCAATGAAGAGCTTTTTCTTCCCCTAAAAAGTCAAAGAGGAACTCGATAAAATTAAATATAGTTTTAGGATTTCATAGTGTAAGGAAAGTGAAGCATGGATTGCCTTTACTCATTTTATCTGACCCATTACATATTCAAGTAATAAAACTACTACTTAAGAAAACCTGGGCTGGAGATGCAGCTCAGTGATAGAGTATATTCCTAATAGGCACAAGGTCCTGGATTCAATCCCAGAACATGAAAAGAGAGGAGGGAAGGAGAGGGGAGAAAGGGGGAGAGAGGAGAGAGAATGGAAAGGAAAGAAAAGGGAGAGGAGAGGAGGGGAGAGGAGAAGAGAGGACCCACCACAGGGCACATTTGTTTAGACAATAAGAACTACAGGCTTGAATTCTTAACTGCCATACTGAGCATCTCACACAAGTAACTGGAGGAGAACAAGAGTGTCATTGTGTCCAACAAAACCATCAAGTCTAACCAACCAAGCCAAAACTTCCAGAAAAACCTATGAGAACTTCACTGACCACTAACAATAAATCACATCCATAAACAAACAGACCCACAGAGCAACTCCTTGTTGCAAGAACAGGGCTATCATAAGGTGAAGCAAAGAGAAAGCCAGATTTGTCTTTAAACTCAAGTTTAAATTTTAAGAGAAGGAAACATTAAATAAGATATTTACTAATATCCTTTAGAACTATGGTTGAGAACACAGTCAGGGTCTAGGCTGGTATAGAATTCCAGCTCTAGCACTTACTAGCTATATGACTTAGGCAAGTTATTTAAACTCTCTGTGCTTCCATTTTTTAATCTGTAAAATGGGGATAATAATATAGTTTACATCTTGAATTACACTGAAGATTAATTGAGTTAATCAATGAAAAGTACTGACAACACTGCCTGGAACATCATAAACAATATAAATGGCAGCTATTTGGTTATGGGTCAAATGTTTATTGCCCCCCAAATTCATTGTTGAAGCCCTAACCCTCAATGTGATGCTGTAGAAGGGGAGATGGTGACTGTGTTTAGATGAGGCCACGAGAGGAGGGCCACCAGAGTGGGATTCGTGTCCTTAGAAGAAGAATGTTCTTTCTCCCTCTTTCCTCCCTCCTTCCCCTTCTCTCTTCCTTTTTGCCATAGGAAGATACAGTAGCAAGAAAGCACTCTGTTGACAAGCCAGGAAAAGACTTCTCACCAGATACTTAATTGGACAATCCCTGCTCTTGGACTTTTCAGCTTCTGACACTGTGAAAAAGAAATGTCTGTCATTTAAGCTACTCAGTCTATGCTATTTTGTTATAATAATCTGAGCTAAGATATAATTATTATGGGTTTAATAACTTTAAAAATAAATGCCAAGTGAGAAGCAAGGACAGAAATACTTTGCAAATCCAAAGAAAAGAAGAATATAAGAGGCGATAGTGGAGGAAGTATAGTCAGAAGACAGTATCATTGAAGACCTAGGATACGATCACAGAAAAGAGAAAAGATGGGCCTCCATCTGTGAAAGAGTGACTCAAAAGGTAATTGATGGCATATATGATTCTATATACTAGGCTGTGGGGCATGAGAGATTTTAGTATATTAAGATTTTCATCCACTGCCAATGAGAGATTCACTAGAGACTTTAGAGCCAAGATCTGGCTTCATAAAGACAGTTCAAGAATCTGTCTTTTGGAAGAGAAAATAATAAATTGTTTAAACCAGAGTGAAAAATTGAAGGTATCTAACAGCAAAGACTGCCTCTGTATCTGACACAATGCCTTCTACTTTGTTCACACCACCTGTATGGTTTGGATCAATGTCCCCTAAAGGCCCATGTGTTACAGTACTTTTTGGAGGTGCACCTTTAAGGGGCATGGCCTAATGGGAGAACTTTAGGTCAATGACAGTGTGACCTTGAAGAAGACTGAGACTCCAGTTTCTTCCTCTTCCTTGTCTCCTCAGATCATGATGTGAGCAGTTTTGTTCTACTAAATGCTCCTGCAATGATGTACTGCCACCCTATAGCCCCAATAGCAACAAGCCAACCAGCAATGGATGGAAACTGTCAAAACTGTAAGTCAAATAAATCTTTATTCTTCTTGAGTTTATTTCAGGTATTTGTTATAGCAACAGAAAACTAACACAACCACTCTTTTTTTTTCTTTTTCCAACATCTTTACTTTTTCTTGAAATGGAAATTCTATGGCTATAACATCTCAACATTTAAACAAGAAAAGCAGAGACACACGAGTATAATTGGTTACTTGAGATAATAAATACCACCTAGCAAGCATCATCCAGAAAAACCCAACATTTTAGAAAGTGGGGTTCACTCCCTCAGTGGGAGAGTGAATTAAATATATAATAATATATATTATTAAATATATTAAATATTCATTAGCTACGCATTCATCCCACCAACTTAGCTTAGGTATCCCATGAGCTAAGAAACCACCACCATCTGTTGCAACAGACAAGCATGTAAGGTTGTAAAGTATTTGACAATTGGGGTCTAAAACAATGTGATGTTTAAAGTATTTATGCAACTGCTTTATGCTCTCCATTTAAGGAGATGTTCCCTTATAGAAAAGCCATTTGGCTAGAGTCAAATTGAAAAACTGCGTACAGTGAAGTCTTGAGTGTCATTTAAGTTATTTCATTCCTCTTCACATGTTACAGTAGACCAT